ATTTAACTATTTTTATTTTAAAATCATATTTATAGTTACGTTTTAGTTTTATTTTGATCACTCACTGTTAAAAGAATAATAGTGATACTAATATGTCACCGTAAGATAATATCAAATCATCATTGATTTTTAAAAAAAAAATTGTCTCATTAATAATTCTGTTAAGTTTTTAACAGTGAGTCCCTAAGATAAAACCAAAATGTAAGTTAAGTATGATTTTCAAAAAAATAATAGTTATATGATCAAAATAGAATAAAAGTCATAGTTGATGTGCTAAATGTCTAATTTACCCATTTTTAATACATTTTCCCTAGTGTCTTTTACGTTATTTATTTAAATATTAATTAGTAATATATGTAGATGAATTAATAATTTTAAAAATTAAAATTATATAGCAACGCATCCTATAATTATATCAAATGTGTTTTAAAAAATATTATAATCATGAAAATTAATAATAAATCAGTTGATAGAATTGTTTTTTTCAAATATATAAGTTTATTAGTTTGCAGTTCAATCATCAATATATAATGAATTGATTAGATTATTTTTTAGGGTAAAATACACAAATAATCTCTCGATAATATGGTGATGTTTTGTTGAGTCTCTATACTATTAAAAGTTATAAAATGGTTCTTCTACTATTGGGTGTTGCTTTGTTAAGTCCTAACTATTAAAAGTTATAAAATGGTCACCGACTATTTAATATGTTCTAAACTCGTCATTTTTCGTTAACAAATTGACAACAATCTGAGCTGGATGTTAACATGATGACTAAGATATAATAAAATCTAATCCCACAATATAAAAAAATTATCACATCTCAATCAATAGGTTAACATTAAGCTCAGACCGTTGTCAACTTTTTAACGGAAAATGACGAGTTTAGAACATACTAAATACTTGGGTGACCATTTTGTAACTTTTAATAGTCAGATGACTTAACAAAGTAACACTCTATAGTTGAATGACTATTTTATAACTTTTAATAGTTGAAGGAGCCAATAAAACATCACCTAATAATCAGAGACCATTTATGTACTTTATCCTAATTTTTAATATAAACTTTTTCTATAAAATAATTAAAAATTCATATTTTTAACAAAATAATTCTTTTATGAGTAATTTATTCAATTCATTTGAATATTTATAATACTTAAGTTTATTACCAATAATAAAAAAACAAAATCTCAAAACATATATACAAATTGAATTAATTTTATAAAATTAATGGGTTGATTTGAGTCCTAAGCAATTTGAGTTATCATATATGTAGAAAATCTTCGTTAGAAAAGTTACATATTTGGCTAACATATATGTGAATTAAATTAATTTTATAAAATTAATAAGATTGATTCAAGCGGTAAACCATTTAATTTTAAATAAATATTTGTTTGTATGTAAAAAATCTTAATTGAAAGACTCTGATTACATCATGTATGTGATTCAATCTATCGGATTAATAAATCTTAAAAATCGGAAGGGCAATAAAAGAAAAAGATTAATTTTATAAAAAAAAAATGCTCTGATCGAAATTTGGAACTGCTAGAACTTGCATGGACTCTAACAAGATAAGTCTAGCAGCTACTATAGGCAGCAACATGAAGGAAAGCTAATGAAAACTCTCAGCCATGGCTGCCATGCCCTATCTGTCGGAACCCTTCACGATCGGAGACTACATGCTAAAATCAAAGCTAGGAGGAAATCCGTTTCCTTCGTTTGGAAAGCTGAGAGCAAATCAATCGGCGAAGTTGTGGTAGTGAAGCAAGTATTTCTTTCCAAGCTCAACAAACACCTCGCTAATTGCTTGGATTGCGAGCTTAGTTTTCTCTCGTCTGTTAATCACCCCGACATCATTCGCCTTTTCCATGTTTTACAGGTATGTTTACCTGTGTTTTTTTTTTCATTTTTTGATTCCAGCAGCTGGTTGTTTATGATTTTCTGGTGCCCATTTGAATTATCTCTCGAATCCGACGGTTTGATGGATTAACAGTTCAATTTCTCTTTGTTAAGTTAAAAGTTTTGGTTGTTTTGTACCAATTACTGGGAATTGGTTCAATCAATCATTTTGATTTTTAAATCTTTATAATGAGTATTGTTTTTTATTGTATTTCCATGGTAGTCCTAGTTAAATGATGTTATAATTTACATTGAGATGACACAGCAAAAACTTGCTGCTAGTTTCTCCTGTTCTCTAGAGCTTGATAAGTAATATGTTGGAGTATCAAGTGCTGATGATTTAGAATTCATTTTCATATCTGTTTTGCTAATCTAATTCCTACCAAAGAAATGGCTGTTTTTCTTTGATTTTCAGTCTGAAAGATGTTTGTTCCTGGTGCTTGAGTTCTGTGATGGAGGAAATCTAGCCTCTTACATTCGTCGTCATGGGAGAGTTCAGGAGCAATTAGCAAGGAGATTCATGCAGCAATTAGGTAATTACTTCTCTTTTTCACAAAAAAATAAAAGTAAAAAAATCTATGTGACGGAAAAGTTTCTAAGTCTAAACAATATTTTTCGAGGTGTTTCCTTTGCAGGAGCTGGTTTGGAAGTATTGCAGTCCCACCATATCATTCACAGAGATCTGAAACCAGAGGTATGCAACATATTTAGCATCATTGCTATATTCATTTTGCATTTATGACCTTTCCGGGATGCACCAGGTTTGCTCCCTGTTTGCCCAGTTAACCACATGCAGCTTGCCTTTCCTGTCTTCCTGATTTTTTTTCTCTACAAGAGCATGCCATCTTCCTTCTTTCCCTAATGCTGCACCATGTGGCTGGTTACTGGAAAAGTAAAGAACAATTATGCCAACATATCAGTGATTCCCGTTATGTCATGATGTAAACCTATGGTGTTAGCCGGGGTAATCTCATATATTCGGTGATCCTAATTTGGTGCCTGACTCGACTTTCAGCTTAAAAGAGAATAGATACCTCATACCTTGGTGTAGTCACAACTCCAAAGAATACCAGAAGTTCATTACTCAGGATTACCTTTTTTTTCTAAAATTCATCAATAACTGCAAGTCATTGTTTGCAAATTGCAACCACGTTATGCATGTATATGATTTCAGAGTAAAATTTTCTATATAATAATTCCTTTAATCCAGTTAACCATGGTGCTTTCATTGGAGTAGAACATTCTACTTTCAGGCCCCAAGGATGATTTGATGCTGAAGATAGCTGATTTTGGTCTTTCCAGGTAAGTTTCATTCTAAGGGAGTTAATGGATCAATGTAAGACCATATAGTATTTTAGTTTCAGTATTTGTCCTGCAAAACTGAGAACAATGTCTATGGAAATCCATTAATTTTGCCCCTAACAATATTGTTACATGGAATGGTTTTTTCCCCTCCTCTTTAATTGTTTCCCCACTTTTATGTTGATGGTAGAAGTGTAGATCCAGGCAAGTATTCCCAAACAGTATGTGGGCTCCATTGTATATGGCTCCGGAAGTTCTACAATTTCAAAGTTATGATGAGAAGGTAATGGCATGTTCTGTTCTTCTTCAATGAACACTGTTTCCTCTCTATTTCTCTCATTCTCTGTTTTTCAAAATTTGTGAAATTGGAACATACTGAAATTTAGGGCTTAGCCATAGGTTGACATGTGGAGTCTTGGAGCAATTCTTTTTGAGCTTCTTAATGGTCATCCTCCTTTCCGCGGTAGAACTAATGTTCAGGTAGGAGATTTAGCCTAAAAAATTTATTGGCTTGCTTTAATGGTTTCCTAAAATTGCTGTCCATCTCAGCTGCTGCAGAATATTATGTCACCTGCCTACCCTTTTCTAAGCTCATTCTTCCACAATTACATCCTGACTGTGTCGACATATGTTCAAGACTTCTTTCTTTAAATCCAGGTCTAGCATTACTACTAATTTCGTGCATATTGAATTCTTCCCAACCCCAGAGGTTGTCTTCCCTCTTAAAATCCGTTACTTGGATTTATGCACGGTTCCAGTTGATCGCCTGTCGTTTCAAGAATTCTATCAACATAGGTTTTTGAGGGAAAAAGGAAAGGGAGAATAAAATCAACCATGTACTTGAGAGTGTGAATGCTGTTGTACAATTCATCCTGATATATAGAAAGTGGTGAGTGTAGCATATTCAGAAGCTTTAAGTTCTCACTCGACAATTCGGTGTTTAGGGTAAATGGCATCATTAAGAGTTAGTGTTATGGAACCGGAAAAGAAAATATTCGAAAACAGTCCCGTATTGTGTAACCACGTTTGTGATATGACATTACATTCTGTATAGACAGCATACATTAACTTGTTTATAAGCATTATGTAGTAACTTATTTTTGTTGTTGATTATGCTTTATGATATAGAACTACTATATGTATTAGGGTGATACTCAATTTTGAATTACCCATTAGATTTCTAAAACGGATTACTAATCCTCAACATTTTGAGGAATCCTTCATAAGTTGTTGTGCATGATTTTTCTCAATCTTTTCGACCTTGGTTCCGTAAGAGCAAGTCAGAAAGATTGAGAAGTAGATTGAGTCCTTCCTGTGTAGCAACTTCGACGACAAACCATGCAACCGATTCTTCAGGCGAATCCGAGTGGATAGCTGATATCAAACCAATAATATAGTGAAGAGAAAATTTCATTCTGGAAAGGGATTAAAAGGACCAGAATAGGAAAGAGTGAATAATTTGCACGTTGATAATCGGAGCTATGCATTTCAACTTCTTCGTTTTCAATTTCTCCCTTTTTTTCCTACCTTTCTCCAAATTCCTTCTGTTCGTCCTCTTTCCTTAATCTTTTTAAGTATCACTTTACGTTTTTCATGGAAAAGAAGGAATTTAAAAGAGGAATTTCATGAACTTCAATATTGCCAGGGTGGTTGGAATGTTATTGGTTTTTGTGGTCCTTCCTATCGATGAAAACAGTACATTTGGGAGGAGATTAGCCAGGTACCATTACCACTGCTCTGCTCTCTTCCCGAGTTATGCGTTCTTTTTGTTTTGTACGTATTAGTTTTGACGTTAACCATAACAAATAATGATGAACTGAATGGACTGGTATATATGTGGGCATATGGCCGCTTATTTTACCACCACTCTCCACGTTGAGGACATCAATGACTTCCATCCCGGTCGCGTTTATGGTCTCTTTTCTTCTTTCTTTTAATCGTCACTTTAAAGTTCTCGACAAAATGCTTGTGAGTGTCGAGCAAATAATAGATGTTAGCTTGTAAATGCCTGCAGTTTTTGGTTACGAGCCACATTCGATGTTGCCGATCGGAGTTGTCACGTTGGTTGTACGCACAAGTTTCATGCCTCTTCCCAAACTGAAATGCCTTGCCTCCAGCCCTGTAAGCCCAATTTATCTCCCCAAATTCTCATATCCTTCTCATTCAACACCATATCACTGGATTTTCTTTTATCCATGACTTGGTGTACATGAATGAATGTGTCATGGTTGGAAAAGGAGATGAGGAAGGAGGAGAAGACGATCGGGGAGGTGAAGAGAGAATTGGGGAAAATGATAAACGAGGGTTAGGGATTGCTGAAGGAATTGGGATTGTTACCTGATGAAGTGAAGGTCACGTGAGGAGCACGGGTTCATTAAACCCAATTAATGTTTGAAGACCCAGCAGCCTTGAGCCCAACAGAGAAGTCCACCAGAGAAGCCTAAGATAATATGCAGTAACAGAATTAGTTAGAATGTAAGCCAGTTGGCTTGTTAGATTTTGTAGTACACGGTATAAAAATAATTGTACCTGGAAAAGGAAGGATTATGCATCATTTCATTGAAATGAATTCTGAATTTCTTAAACCTTTTCTGTTTCTCCTCTGAAATCTCTTTCTTTTCTCTTCTTCATTATCTCGTTCATCACAAATTGGTATCGAGAGCCTCGGTTCTAGCAAGCAAAGGGCATGACAAAGAAGAATCAAAACATGAATGAAGCTGATCTATCAGGCCTGCAGAAACAGATGGAGGATTTAACAGCATTAGTGAAGCAAGGAAGGGACGAGACTAATCCACCTAAGTGGTGGGAAGTGCAGGAAAACAGAATCACAGCAATGGAATCAAGAATGGCTACTAATCAAAGCTATGTTGAAGAGCTGTTGAAGATTCTAACAGGCAGGACGGGTGAGCAGGAAAATGTTGCTGGTGAACAGGTACAAACTTCTAATGCTTCTAAAAATGGAGAACAAAGTCCTGTTTTGGTGACTGTGGTAAAAGATAAATCAAGATTCACTTATAAACCGGATGAGCCTGGGATATTAAAAGCAAACCTGATGATTGTGTGTCTTAAAAAATGGGAATCAGTTAGGTGAAATAGTGAATCTAGACCTAAATTGTTGGGGTCTGAAACTGAAAGAAGAGGTCCAGGAAGTTCTTTTATAAGTTCAGGGTCTATGTGGCATAGGCTTAAAATTGAGTTGCCATTTTTTGAAGGGGTTAATCCTAGGGGGTGGCTTCAAAAAATGTCTTAAATATTTCTCTCTGTGTAATGTTCCTAATGAGCAGAGGATAGAAATAGCCACTATGTACCTAACTGGGAAAGCAGAGGTTTGGTTTGATGGGTATATTATGCAGAAACATCATGTGACATGGCATGAATTTGAGGCAGATCTTTTCCATAGATTTTGTGATAGGTACTTTGCTGACATAGTTGAGGAATTATCAAAGTTAGTGCAGAAGGGATCAGTAGAGGAATACCAGGACAGGTTTGAAGAATTGCAGCCTCATATGCTGTTACAGAATCCTACTCTGGGTGAAGAGTTTTTGTCTCTCTTTTTATTAGTGGATTAAGAGAGATATCAAGCATAGAGTTAAGGTTTTGGAGCCAAAGACACTCTCTGAAGCTTGCAGACAAGCTAAACTATATGAGCTTTCTGTGGAATATGAGAATAAAAGAGGGAGAGCATTTTTTAGAAACCCACCCTACCCAAACCCATTACCTAGTACTAAACCTAATTTCTCAAATCCACAACAGAAAAGTTCAGCTAATCTGCCTCCAAAACAGAATTTGTTGGAGTACAGGAGACAAAACAACCTATGTTATAAGTGGTGAAAAGTTCTCTCCAGGGCATCAATGTAAGATAAAGCATTGAATATGATGATTGAGGACGAACCTGTTTTATCTTCAGAAACTTTACCAAATGAGTTAGAACAACAAGTGTTACAAGATGAGGAGAGCCTAGAAATTTCTATGAATGCTATCACTGGGTGTATTGGTCTTAATACACTAAGGATTCAAGGCACTATTCTAAAGTGATATGGTCCTAGGTGTGGATTGGATGAAGTTAGTCAGTCCTATCTTAATGGACTTTAATAAACTGACACTCAGTTTTGTACATCAGGATGAACAAATTGTTATCAATGGCCAACAGCCCTCGAATTTTTTGCAACAGATTTCAGGAGCTACACTATTAAAGATGACAATTTCAAATTCTGCTTTATTGGGGTATGCTGTTTTGATGAATATGACAGAAGGTTCAAGACCTACTCCTACAACTATTCAACCATTATTGGAAAAATAAAATTCTATTTTTGCTGAGCCTACAGGTCTTCCACCTACAAGAACTCATGATCATACTATCACTTTAAAGCCTGATTCTATGCCTGTTAATTTAAGGCCATACAGATTTCCTCATAATCAAAAAGCTGAAGTGGAAAAACAAATTGCTGCTATGTTATCTTCTTCTATTATTCAACCTAGCAAAAGTCATTTTGCTTCTCCATGCCTTCTCATTAAAAAGAAGGATGGTACTTGGAGGTTTTGTGTTGATTATAGGCAGTTGAACAACATGACAATTAAGGATAAATTTCCTATTCCTGTTGTTGAGGATTTATTGGATGAGCTATATGGGGCTGTCTACTTTTCAAAAATTGATCTAAGGTCAGGTTACTGGCAGATCAGAATTAAAGAGGAGGACATTTATAAAACAACATTCCGAACTCATCAGGGTCATTATGAATTTAAGGTAATGCCCTTTGGGTTAATTAATGCTCCTGCAACATTTCAGGCTTTGATGAATGAATTATTTAGTTCATTCCTTAGGAAGTTTGTTTTGGTGTTTTTTGATGATATATTGGTTTACAGCAGTTCTATGACAGACCATATTCTGCATTTACAATTAGTTTTGGATGTTTTGCAAAGTAATCAACTATTTGCAAAACTATCTAAGTGTTTCTTTGGTCAGACCCAAGTAGAGTACTTGGGCCATATTATTTCAGCTGCTGGTGTTGCTACTGATCCTAGCAAGATAGAAGCAATGAGAATTGGCCTTTACCTAAATCCTTAAATCATTGAGGGATTTTTTGGGGTTGACAGGATATTATAGAAGATTTATAAAAGATTATGGGGCAATTAGTAAACCTTTGACTCAGATGCTGAAAAAGGACTGTTTTAAGTGGAACAGTGCAGCTTTGACTGCTTTTGAAGAACTGAAGAGAACTATGTATCTGGCACATGTGTTAGCTCTACCAGACTTTACTAAGATTTTTTATTTAGAGACTGATGCTAGTTCTGGAGGCATAGGGGCTGTTTTATCACAGGAGGGCAGACCTATAGCATTTTTAAGTAAAGCTCTCAGTCAATGCCATGCTGCTATGTCTATTTATGAGGGAATACCTTGCTATTTTATTAGCAGTCTCCAAGTGGAGACACTATTTAGAGAGCAAACCTTTTATCATCAAAAATGATCATGAGCCTTTAAAACTTATTGGAGCAGAAACTCACTACTGCTATTCAAAAAAGGGGGCTGACAAATTATTGGGATTGGATACACTATCCAATACAGGAAAGGTATATCCAATATTGTGGCAGATGCTTTATCCAGGCAATGGGAACCAAGCTCAGTGTCTTGTCATGGGAACTACTCTAGTTATTCCTACTTGGGTACAAGAAGTGGAGGAGAGTTACAAGGATGATTTATTGGCTACTGAGTGGATTTCTATTCTGACTGTGTCTCCTAATGCTGATTCTAAGTGGAAATATTCCAAAGGAATTCTCAGATTTCAAGACAGGGTCTATATTGGTACTAAAGGCTCTCTTAGGCTACAGATTCTTCAAACTTTACATGACTCACCTCATGGAGGTCATTCAGGAACTCAGGCCACTTATCAAAGAATTAGAAGTTACTTTTTTGGCCTAAACTTAAGGCAATGGTGGCTACTTATGTGAGGGTTTGTCCAGTATGTCAGCAAACTAAAGTGGAGCATGTTGCTAAACCTGGTTTTACTTCAGCCACTGCCTATTCCTCAACAGGCCTGGGAAATTATCACTATGGATTTATAGAAGGTTACCTACTTCTTTGAAGAAGAACTGTATCTTAGTGGTGGTGGATAAGTTCACAAAATACAGTCATTTTGTGGCAATATCACATCCTTATACTGCTGCTGAAGTAGCTAAACTCTACTTAGACAACATTTATAAGTTGCATGGCCAGCCTAAGTGGCCATTTCAGACAGAGATAAAACCTTCACTAGTCTTTTTTGGAAAGAACTAATGAAAGTTAGGCACTAAGACTCTATTTAGTACTGCCTACCACCCAGAGACGGATGGACAAAGTGAAAGGGTGAATCAGTGTCTTGAACAGTATCTAAGAGGGTTGTGTTTCTCCCAACCAAAGCAGTGGGCTAAATGGTTATCTCATGCAGAGTGGTGGTAATACCACCTATCATACAGCCCTAAAGTTGACACCATTTCAAGCTCTATATGGATATGCACCTCCTACAATGGTATGGCAATCAGACTCACCAGTGCATTCTGTCAGTGAATTAATGAAGACTAGAGATGACATTCGCAGACTAGTCAAATTTCATTTAGAACATGCAACCAATCGCATGAAACAAAAAGCTGATAAAAAACGATCGGAAAGAAATTTTGCAGTGGGAGAGGAAGTGTACCTGAAATTACAGCCTTATCGCCAAACATCATTGGCTCTGCGTAAAAACTTAAAGCTAGCAGCCCGATACTATGGCCCTTACAAAATTACAGAAAGATTGGTGCGGTTGCTTACCGTTTGGCTTACCTGAGACATCACGGTTACATCCCGTTTTCCATGTGAGTCTTTTGAAGAAACACATGGGACAGTTAGCCTCTTCTTCTACGGATCCTCCTGACATGACAGAGGAAGGTGAAATTAAATTGAGCCTTGCAAGTCATGGGAAGAAATTGTTAACAGGAAACACAAACCTGTTACTCAGTTGTTGGTGCGATGGAAAAATCTAGATGATTCGTGCGATACTTGGGAGGACTATACTGTTCTTAAGGGACAGTTTCCTAACTTTGATCCTTGGGGACAAGGATCTGCTCCAGCAGCGGGTATTGTCATGGTTGGAGAAGGAGATGAGGAAGGAGGAGAAGACGATCGGGGAGGTGAAGAGAGAATGGGGAAAAGATAAACGAGGGTTAGGGATTGCTGAAGGAATGGGATTGTTACCTGATGAAGTGAGGTCACGTGAGGAGCACGGGTTTCATTAACCCAATTAATGTTTGAAGACCCAGCAGCCTTGAGCCCAACAGAGAAGTCCACCAGAGAAGCCTAATAATATGCAGTAACAGAATTAGTTAGAATTAAGCGCAGCTGGCTTGTTAGATTTTGTAGTACGGTATAAAATAATTGTACCTGGAAAAGGAAGGATTATGCATCATTTCATTGAAATGAATTCTGAATTTCTTAAACCTTTTCTGCTTCTCCTCTGAAATCTCTTTCTTTTCTCTTCTTCATTATCTCGTTCATCACAGAATGTAGATATTCTACGTTCCATTTCTGAGGCATATTTGGACATGGTTGGGTGCTTCACCAGCCACAAGGAAGAACTTTTGTTCCCTGTTGGAAAATGGTTATAGTTGTATTATAGTGCCTGGTGGAGTCCAAGAGACATTGAACATGGAACATCGCTCCGAGGTTTTATTTTTGGATCTTGGTGGCGGTCTTCTTTTTCTGTTTATGTTGGGAACTTAATAATTCTTGGTTTATTTCTGGACATACAGATTGCATTCCTTAAGGCACGAAGAGGATTTGTTCGGATTGCTATGGAAACGGGGTGTCCCCTGGTCCCAGTTTTCGCCTTTGGTCAGGTAAGTAATGTGTTTTGCAGCTTCAAAAATCAAACATTCCTTAAGGCACGAAGAGGATTTGTTCGGATTGCTATGGAAACGGGGTGTCCCCTGGTCCCAGTTTTCGCCTTTGGTCAGGTAAGTAATGTGTTTTGCAGCTTCAAAAATCAAAATTCATTATTTTCAACGTTTTCTACCACACAATTCACCATTTATTCGTGCATTTTACCTGAAGCAAGCAAGTACGGCATGTGCTTAGCGGCAATTGGGTGGCCGGTAGCCCTTGTAATTTCTTGAATGAATTATATAAGAATATCTTTTCGGTCAGTTATCTTTTACATATTACAAAATGAGCTTTAAATTTTTTAAACAGTTACAAAATGGTCCCTGTAACATTAAAATAACAATAAATTTCAATAGGTTTAGAGACTATTTTTAATAATTTGATAAATTCAAAAACCATTTTAGAATAATTCGATAAATTTTATTGATCATTTCCTAACTATTTAGGAAGTCTAAGGATCGTTTTATAACATTTGAAAAGTCATGGACTAAAAGGATCATTTTTATATAATTAAGTGATATCTAATGAACTTTATCATAGATCAAACAACTTCCACAATTTTCGCACCAAATGAGTCTAATTTCCGTCCTTATTTCTTACTTGTGCGTCAGTCACATGCGTACAGGTGGTGGAAACCAGGTGGCAAGCTCATCCTCCAACTTTCAAGAGCTATCAAATTCGTCCCCATACTATTTTGGGGAGCTTTTGGATAATGCACTAAATCACTATCTTTTATGGTAAACAGGAATGAAACCCATTCTTATTGGTTCGTTTATATTTGTAGAACTCCGATACCCTATCAACATCCGATGCATGTGGTTATCGGGAAACCTATTTACCTGACTAAAAACCCCCAACCCACTAACCAAGAGGCATTTTCTTACAATGCTTCCATCGGTACTAACTATTGTACGGTCTTTCATTGCCTATCAACAATTGGATAGCTATTTTCTAGGTTAATCCGCCTATCCATTAATACACATCTGAATCACAGGTGCTTCAAGTACATGACCAATTTGTTAAAGCTCTTCAGGATCTGTTTGAGAGAGACAGAGCTCGGCTGGGATATGCTGATCTTTCACTACAAATTCTTTGATTCCAACTTTGGTTAAAGTTGGCTTCTTACATTTATCACGTTTGTTTTTATGCCAATCTCTTGTACTGTCTTATTCAATATCAAAGGTATTTGGGTTATGTTTTGTTACACACGTCTTATTCATAAACGTGTAGATGTGTCCCTTCCATTACCCATCGTAACAGTCCAAGCATCACCTCGTAAAACTGCATCAAACACCATGGAGTTGCCACCTTTACTTATCCCTGAGTCCACGTTGAACCTGATAAAGCAACGTGGCTTTGCGAGAGGCTTGCAGAAACAATATAGATGGTTAAATTATATATTTAGTCACCCACTTGTTTCTACGCTTCTTTTTTAGTTATTCTTAACTATTTATTTTTTAAAATCATAATTAATGTTATATTTTAATTATCCGTATTAAAAAAATTAACAGTAGTACTTATATGTCATCATAAAGTAATGATATATCATCATTAAAAAAATAAAAAAATATTACGTTTACAATTTTGTTTATTTTTTTAATATCGAAATGACATATAATGTTAGATATATTTCAAAAAATAAGTTATATAACCAAAACAAAATTATGAAAATAACTAATTACATAGTTATCCAATATACATTTTAGAATCTATTTCTTTTCCTTATTATCATTCTATCCAACCAAAGAGTATGTTATTATCATTATTTTTCTATACCACTCGACTAATCAAATTATTAAATAATTTTTCCATCTAAATTGAATAATTATCGAATTCTTACTCTATTTCATTTCAGCTAATTAATCGTGTTGTCAGTGGCGAACATATTGTTATCTCACTTTATCACTGTAACATGTTCATGGTGGCTTATCATGTAATCTATTTATCAAAATGCCCATGCAAAATCTTAAAAATTCAGCGACTGTAAGGGTTGTTTACTCATTTTTTTTATAATTCAGAGAAGTTATCTTTTTTAATCACCATAATTAAGTTGATAAATTTTAGTATATTTTTAATCACGTTCCACGTAGGCCGAAGCATATGATCATAATTAAGCAGAGGAAAAGGTGTTTTATTTAAAGGATCGTTTATGGTACGAACATCGGTTTCCTGTTAAATTATTGTCTCTGATTTTTTTTTTCAGTTCAGATTTGACAGAGCATATGATAGTCGATTCCTTTACGAGTTGAATGCATTCGTCTCGAATGTGATTTGTTAAACCAAAGCCAAAGCGGTGTGGCGGTTCCGGAAGCGGCGGCGGACAATGGTGGAAGTGAAGGAGGGGAGAAATGCGTATTCGAATGTATCTGGATATCGGGAAGTCAGTGCAAGAAACCAATTCCCGTCCAACATCTTGCAAGGGGCGTTAGCTAATTCTATTTGGATTGGAGCGATTCATTTCAACATCTTCCTCTTCCTTTTCTCCATCCTCTTCCTTCCTTTCGCCAAATTCCTCGTGTTCGTCCTTTCTCCTTTTGCTCTTCTTTTAATTCTGTTTGGAAAAAAAAAAAAATTAAATCGCACAGTTTCGTTAATTTCCCAGGGTGATTGGATTGCTTTTGGTTTTCGTGGTACTTCCTATTGATCAGAACAGTAAATATGGGCGGAGATTGGCCAGGTACAGTTCTGTTCTTTTTCTATGGTTAATATTATATGAATGAATACGGCAGATTTGAAATTTTAGTTAATCAATAATTATGATTTGAATGAGCAGGTATATATGTAGGCATATGGCCGCTTATTTTCCCACAACTCTCCACGTTGAGGACATTAACGACTTCCATCCTGATCGTGCTTACGGTCACTTTTCTTCTTTCTTTTAATATTTACTTTAAAGTGCTAGAGCAAAATCTCAACTGATAATTTGAGAAAACAAAAATGAAAATAAAGAAGACATAAATTTTACGTGGAAAACCCCTAAATAATATAGGGTAAAAACCACAGGCAACGGTAGATGAATTTCACTATGAGAAAATAGGAATTACAACTTCTCTCGATCGACCAAGGAGAAAACAATGATAATTCTCTCTTGATAAAAAAGAGAAAATAACTCTCAAGAAACTCTCTAAATTCTCTCTAGTATTGGAAGAAAGCTAGAATGCTTTGGGATGGTTTTGAAGCTAAATGAGCTAGGATATTTATAGTTGAAGCTTAAGGACTAATCTTATAAATACCCTAAAGTTTAGGGATTAAATGTTATAGTTATCCCATTTAATTTCAACAATTTGGTTACCTAATTTTGACTATATTAGCCGCCCAAAACCAATTTTCCACAGCCGCCCCATTATTATTTTTTTTTACTTTCAACAATCTCCCACTTGAAGATTTAATTGGAACAATCATATCTTCACACCATTCTTTCTACCTTTTACCACCTTTTCACGAATGAAATGGTATTGAACTCGTATGTGCTTTGTCCTTGCACTTTGACTGTCAAAAAACAGAGAGACATACTCTTGATTGTGTCCAAGCTCCTCCAATAGCATCTTTAACCAAATTGCTTCTTTACTGGCTTGTGTAGCTGCTACATATTCTGCCTCTGTTATGGATGTAGCCACAACTGACTATAATTTTGAAACCCAGCTTACAGCTCCACCAGTAACTTTAAACACATATCCTGTTGTAGATTTTCTTTTATCCAAATCCCCTGCATAGTCAGAATCTACATACTCATTTATTAGTAAGTTTGATCCTCCGTAACATAATGCAATATTTGAGGTCCCTTTGATGTATCTCAGGATCCTCTTTACGGTATTCCAATGCTCTTTGCCTGGATTCGCCATGTACCGACTAACCACTCCCACTGCTTGTGCAATGTCTGGTCTTGTGCATATCATAGCGAATATTAAACTTCCCACTACCGATGCATACGGTACTCGAGACATCTTCATCCTCCCTTCTTCACTGCTAGGACTCATACTGGAGGATAATTTGAAGTTAATAAGAAGAGGGGTAGAAATTGGCTTACAATCTTGCATGCTGAATCTTGACAAGATCTTCTTCAAGTAATTCTTTTGTGAAAGCCAAATCTTCATATTACTTCTGTCTCGGTGAATTTGCATCCCTAGAATCTTGTTTGCTGATCCCAAGTCCTTCATTTCAAATTCCCTAGCCAGTTGTGCCTTCAATTCTTCAATATGATCTTTGTTGGGTCATACAACCAACATATCATCCACATACAACAACAATATAACAAAATCATTATCACCAGACCTCTTGAAATAAGCACAAGGGTCTGCATTAAGTCTGTTGTATCCAAGGCACATAATGAAGGAATCAAATCTTTTATACCAACACCTCGGCGCTTGCTTTAGACCGTACAAAGATTTGTTCAACCTGCAAACCAAGTTCTTTTATTTTTCTTCAAAACCTTCAGGCTGGAGCATATAAATCTCTTCTTCAAGATTTCCATGAAGAAAAGTTGTTTTAACATCCAGCTGCTCTAGATGTAAGTTCAATGTAGCACACATTGCTAAAACTACTCGAACTGTTGTTAGTTGAACCACAAGAAAAAATATTTCATTGAAATCAATACCTTCTCTTTGAGCATATCCCTTGACCACCAATCTTGCACGATACCTCTCAACTTGATCGTCACCATTTCACTTGATTTTGAAGACCCATTTGTTACCAATTGACTTCCTTCATTGTGGTAGTGGCACAAGATCCCATGTATTATTTTTATGAAGGGTTTCGATTTCTTCTTGCATCGCCATTATCCACAATGAAGCATCTGAGCTGTTTATTGCCTTTTGGTATGTTGATGGCTCACCGTCCTCTGTTAAAAGGCAGTATGCAACATTTCCTTCTATAATATAATCTAAGTGCCAATTGGGACGTCTTCTCACATGATCTGATTGACGATTTGTTGGAGATTCAAAACTCTCTGGTTCTTGTTCATCATGTGCTGGTTCTGCTTCAGAAGAATCTCTTTGTTCAAGCTCATTTTCCACATGTATCTATGTAGTCTCTGACTTTTCAGTGCTATCATCGTCTTCTTTTCTTTGTAGTTTATCTTCTACAACGATAACATCCCTGCTAATGATCACTTTGCGGGCAGTGGGATCCCACAAGCAATACCCCAAGAATTTGCATTTCCTGGATTTTGGATCCAGCTTTGAAATTTCTTGGGAGTTATACATCACGTACTCTATACGTCCAAATACATAGAGGTTTGAATAATCAGCTGGTTTTCCAGTCCACATCTCCATTGGTATCTTCAGCTCTATTGCAGTTGATGGAGCTCGATTTACCAAATAATAGGCGGTATTGACTACTTCTGCCCAGAATGATTTTTCTAGGCCTGCATCCCTCAACATTGCTCTTGTTCTTTCTAACAAGGTTCTGTTCATCCGCTCTGCCACTCCATTTTGTTGAGGAGTGTTCGCCAGTGTGAACTGTCTTTTGGTGCATTCTTTCCTGCAAAAGTCATCAAATTCTTCGCTTGTGTATTCTCCTCCATTATCTGTTCTGAAACACTTGATCTTATTTCCAGAATCAAGTTACATCCGCACTTTGAAGTTTTTGAAAGTTGAAAACACATCTGACTTCCTTTTAATAGGGTACACCCAACATCTCATGGATTAGTCATCAATAAATGAGACAAAGTATTTTGCTCCGCCTAGGGATGTAACTGGTGCTTGCCATACGTCAGAGTGAACCAATTCTAGAACACTCTTGCCTCTAGAATTTGATGTGTTGAATTTCAACCTGTGCAGTTTACTTGTTATGCAATGCTCACACAAAGTAAGTGATACATTGTTAAGTCTGGAAGTAGCTTTTGCTCCGCAAGGACTTTCATTCCTTGTTTTGACATGTGTCCAAGTTTCTGATGCCATAGCATTACAGAATCTGAACTACATGAGGTAACAGAGGCTTCTACTTCTAGCAAAGTCTATCCCTTCAACATGTACAAGTTTATTGCTATCTTTTCACCTTTCAGTAACACAAGCGCTCCACGGAACACCTTCATGATTCCTTTCCGTGTTTCAATCTTGCTTGCATTATTATCCAACAATTCGTAGGATAATAAATTTTTCTTCAGGCCTTTCACGTGTCGCACATCTCGAACAACTTTAATTGTTCCATCATACATCTTCAATTTGATGGTTCTCACGCCAACGATCTCCAAGGCATGATCATTGCAACTATAGACAGATCCTCCTGAGACAGGTTCATAATGATGGAACCATTCTCTTCTTGAGGTCATGTGATATGTTGCTCTCGAATCAATGAGCCATATATCAGCATATCTCTTTCTACCTCCCACGGTGGTTGACGCTTCACAACATAGAGCATCTCCATCATCTGAAGTGTTTGCGGTATTGCCTTGTGGATTGGAGTTTTTATTCAGACTCCAACAATCCTTCTTCAAGTGACCATTCTTTCCATATTTGTAGCACTTTAAATTCTTCTTGCTTCTCGACTTCGATCTACCATGTTTGTGACTGTTGCTTTGGCCACATTCTATTGATCTCCCTCTCATCGTTGTCAACGTTTCTGCTTGTTACAGATTTACTTGTCTGTCTTCCTTGTTCTTGCGCCAATTTTCTTCTTGTAGAACAGCAGCTGCAACGTCATCGAAGACTAGACTGGTGACATTACTGTTTGTCAAGTTGATGATGAGTTGATCATACGAATCAGGTAGACTTTGAAGTAGAGGTTCAACACGTACTTGTTCTCCTATTTTACAGCTTATGGATGTAAGCTGAGAAAATAAAGTGTTCAGTGTATTTAAGTACTCCGTCACTAAAGTAGATTCTGGCATACGGAGAGTGTACAATTTTCTCTTAAGGAAAATTTTTATTGTGCAACGATGTGGCCTCGTACAATTTGGTTAGATGATCCCATATCTCCTTAGCTGTCTTCTTCTCCTCGATGTTTGACAATACTTCATCTGCTAATGCTAGATGAAAGTTTGCCATAGCATTCCCGTCCATCTTGTTCCATTTGTTGTCATCTATGAAATCCACCGGCCTTTCACTAATAGCTGCTAGACAGCCGTCTTTCCTCAAGATGACCTTCATTTTTAATTTCCATAATGAGAAATTTCTCCCATTGAATTTTTCAATATCAAATTTCGTTGTCATAGCTTCTATTACGGATAGCTCCCACTATTTCACTATCGTGAATAGTTTTCTGGAACCTTCAAAGAATGGGTAATATATTCTTACTTTCTTATGTTGGAGGATCCACCTTTTGGTGGCAACCACAAAGACAATAAGCATATATTACACACTCAAATCTGGCTCTGATACCAATTGTTGTGGAATACGGCTATCGGATAGAGCAAAATCTCAACTAATAATTTGAGAAAATAAAAATGAAAATAGAGAAGACACAAATTTTACGTGGAAAACCCCTAAATAATATAGGGTAAAAACCACGGGCAACGATAGAAGAATTTCACTATGAGAAAATATGAATTACAACTTCTCTCGATCGACCAAGGAGAAAACAATGATAATTCTCTTTTGATAAAAAGGAGAAAATAACTCTAAAAAAAACTCTCTAGTATTGGAAGAAAGCTAGAATGATTTGGGATGGTTTTGAAGTTAAATGAGCTAGGGTATTTATAGTTGAAACTTAAGGATTAATCTTATAAATACCCTAAAGTTTAGGGATTAAATGTTGTAGTTATCCCATTTAATTTCAACAATTTGGTTACCTAATTTTGACTATATTAGCCGCCCAAAACCAATTTTCCACAGCCGTCCCATTATTATTTTTTTTACTTTCAACAGTTAGCTTGTAAATGATGCAGTTTTCGGTTACGAGCCGCATTCGGTGTTCCCCATTGGTGTTGTCACGCTGTGTGAACGTACAGGTTTCATGCCTCTTCCCAAAATGAAATGCCTCGCAACCAGTGCTGTAAGCACAATTTCAACATTCCACAATCGCATTACTCAAATTTTTTGGGCCATAACCTTTGTGGATGAATGGTTTAGGTATTCTACACCCAATTCTTGAGACATATATGGACATGGTTGGGTGCGGCACCAGCCACAAGGAACAACTTTTGTTCTCTTTTGAAGGCTGGTTATAGTTGTATTGTAATTCCAGGTGGAGTACAAGAGACCTTCCTCATGCAGCATGATTCCGAGGTTTTATTATTCGAATACTTATTCTATTTTTTTTCTTTCATTTTAGTGTTTTTTATGTTGGTACTTGACGATTCTTGGGTTGGTTTACACAGGTCGCCTTCCTTAAGACGCGAAAAGGATTTGTTCGAGTAGCCATGGAAACAGGGTGTCCACTGGTTCCAGTTTTTGCCTTCGGTCAGGTAAGTATGTTTTTTTTTTCTCGGTTATTTTGGTCCTGTTGGAAGCACATACGCGAAAACAGAATATATGATGTGATTCAATACGATAACATAACAATGTTCTCATTGAGATTCAACATACCTTACATACACATTTGGAGCGTAAAATCATGCAACAAGTATTGGATAGGATTTGGAGCTATTGCGTGGCCTTTTTGGTTTACTCTTTAATTGAACCGTCTAGAGTTTGTCAGTGGCCTCATTTGTTCTGTTCATTCTTATCTTTCTATCGGACTTCCATGTGTTTGTCACTTGAATCAACTTTTTTTCTTCTTCTTCTAACGTCTGCTTCAGTCATATTCCTACAAGTGGTGGAAACCAAGTGGGAAGTTCTTCTTGCAACTTGCCAGGGCTATCAAATTCCTTCCCATGTTATTTTGGGGAGTTTTTGGGTATGTACTAGATTTAAGATTTGTTTTTTTGGAATATAAAAGTATAATATTTCTTTTTAATTTGGAGATTTTACTTAATTTGTGTTGGATAAATGTGGTTTAAAATCTTTGAGTTATTTTCAGTTTCGGATTGAATATTCTTTTAATCATTTGCACTTGAAACTCTAATTATTTGGATAAATTCATTAAAGAAAGTTTTACGATACATGATTGTGTAGAATTTAAACTTCACAACCTTGCTTATTTGAACACCATGTGTTTTATTTAGGGTTTTGAATTTATGATATAGGATATGGGGAGTAGAATTATGATTTAGGGTTTAGTATTAAAAAAGTCAAGGCTGTAAAGTCAAGGGTCTTGAATTTATGATCTAGGATTTGGGGAGTAGAAGGATTGATAGTATACTTTGATTAGTAAAATAATAAAATTATAATCTTTTATCAATTAGTGATTTAAGCCGGACTGAATCTTTAGAAATTCATAATGTGTTTACTTAGTGCTGTTTCCCTGAAATCTTCTCTTCCCCCCCCCCCCCCCGATTCAGAACTCCTTTACCCTATCAACATCCAATGCATGTGGTGGTGGGTAAACCTATTGAGTTGAAGAAAAATCGTCAACCTACTGCCGAACAGGTATTTGTGATATTATTGTACAACTGTGTTACTTGGAATTATAGAGGGATGGATATGATTTATGAGTATGACTCGATTTTAGAAACTGATTTTTTTACATATATTCTCATATCTATCGAATCATACTCGTGAATTATATATTTGACACGAGTACTTAAAAAGAACAAAATATCGAAACGACACGACTGAATATTTCATTTATACATTGTTTAATCTGATTCACAGGTTCTTGAAGTACAAGGTCAATTTATTAGATCCCTCGAAGAACTTTTCGAGAGACGCAAAGCTCGGGTTGGATATACTGATCTTCCACTAAAGATTCTTTGATTTAAACTTTGAATATGTGAATCGTGTTATTTTGTTTGTCATTCAAGAGAAATTATGCCCTGTTGATACATGATTAAAACAGTTGTATACATGCATGTATATGAATAATGGTATATCCTCTCACATATGTACATATATTATATACAAGAAAAATGCAAGCGTATTCCGTATGGTCTACGGTGTTGGTGTTTGCAGAGATTTATTGTTTGTACTGTGTGTATGGCACTAATGGTTTTAATTTTTTCTAACCAAAGGCTTGTGATATATATATATATACCGAATAAAAATACATTAATAGTAGAAAATGAGTTAATATTAGTAGTTAATTTTTATTTATTTAACGATATTAAATATGTGTAAAATTAAAAAAATTATATTGTGTAATTAAATCTTAATTTTATTTATATAAATAAAGATAAAATTATAAATGATATAATTAAAGATAAAATTATAGTCGAAACTTTTTCCACTTTAAATTAATTAACGCAAAATGATAGAATCGAAGAATTTTGTCACAATGAAATGGATGCTTCCACGAGATAATGTTCTCGAAATTTTTATCTCACGTGATAATGTACTCCCAAGTTTAATTGCTGAAATAGGGTGATGCACAGTTTGGCCGTAGGTCGCCATGCCTTCCGGGCGACCTACGACGTGGCAGCTTCTGAGAATAAACGAACGACGACGACGTTGCATGGCACATGCAGAAGCCAACCCATAGGTCGCCATGCACTCCGGGCGACCTTGTAGGTCACCATGCACTCCCAGCGACCTTGTCTTTTTGCATGGACACGTGATAACCTGCTCCCCGCCCCCTCCTGCTCCCCGCTGCATGTCGCTGCAGCTATATGGGCTACAATTGCAGCTTGAAATCAGCTGCTTCATGCTACAATTATTGATGCATGCATGTGAACCATTTCAGCCCGTGAATTGTATAATTATTGGTGAAATAATTAAGGCATCTTGTGTTATATATGGGAGGTGGTTAACGTGAGAACATAAAAGAAAGAAAGGGAGAAGAGATTGCAGTCGAAGAAAGGGAGATGATAGTGCAGCCGAGAAAGAAAGAAAGAAAGAAAGGGAGAAAAGAAAGGAAGAAGAAGAAAGGGAGATAAGGCTCTTGTGAGGTAAACTTTTATTATTTAAATTAGTTTATTATTATAAATTTTTAGTTTATTAGTTTAGGGTTTAGGGTAAAACAAAAATAAGTTAATTAGTTTGTTAGTTTAGGGTTATATGATTGTTAGTTTAAGTTAAATATATTATACAGAAATAAAAAATTATTTAATTAATATGTTTGATAGTTATATAGTTAAACATAATTAATTAGTTTGTTTTGTTATTCGTTAGTTATATAAAAAATTTATTTAATTAGTTTGTGTTAGTTAATTAGTTAAGTTATATTAGTTTGTTGAATTTATATTATGTAACATCCCAAACTATGGGTTAGTGACTAAATGGTAAAGTTTCAGAAATTTGGTGATTAAAGTAGAAGAATGGATAGTTCAATGATTTATCTGGAAATAAATCCTAAAAGTTGTTAGTAATTATCAAATGAAGTAGAGGGCAAAATGGTCATTTGACTAATAAATGAATTAAAAATAGATATGATAAGGATATATATGTTAGAGGGGATAAGGAAGAAGAGATATTCTCTTCATCTTCTTCTTCTTCTTCTTATTCTTCTTCATGTACGAGAGAGAGAAGAGCCAAGCTTGCAAAGGTAAGATTCCTTGCTAGCAGATTATTTGTTAATTTTAAGAGTGGGTTTTGATCATTAGGTAATACTTAAGCTTATGGAAAGCTTAAGTTGTCCAAAAATCAAAAGATAAAGAAGTTATGAAAGATTAAAGAAAATGAGTTTCTTAAGGAAATTCTGGAAAAGAGTTAGTAAGTGAATTTTGAGAAGGAATTTGACTTGTCATCAATCTAATTAAGGAATATGGAGTGTTAGAATTAGATTTAAAACATGCTAAAAATCTGGTATGATTCTTGAAGTTAATAAAGAGGAGAGGATATTAAGGTTAAAGACGAGATAATTGATTATAAATGAGTTTAAATATGTATATGAAAGTTAGGAATATGAAAGGGGATGAAATATGAAGCATTTGAGTGAAGAGTTGATGATTTTCGGGTTTAAAAAGAGGTTCTGGGCAGAGTGCATCGATGTACATTCATAGTGCATTGATGCATCAAGGTTAAAACCCAGAAATCGTTTGAAGGTGTATCGATGCACATGAAGTGCATCGATGCACTGTTTTAAAATAAATACATCAAATGCAATTCATGCATCGATGCATGAGTAGTGCATCGATGCATCCCATTAATAATGAAACATCGAATACATTTTATGCACCGATGCATCAGTAGTGCATCGATGCATACCTTCATTAAAAGATGAAATTGACTTTTCTCTTGGTCTAAAGAGTGAACCATTAGAGTATATTAGTTATGATACTGATATAGATCTATGTATGATTATGTAGATATAGAACGTGATCCCGTTCCGAATCAACTAAAGGATTAGAATCGAATCAAAGCAAAGCTAAGGTGAGTGCATTTTAATTTGTACTTATATAATTGAATAAACATTTGGCTTGCGATGAGCCAGTGATGGAGTTACTATGGTAAGAAGTAACTCCTAAAATGTTATTTGATTGGTGATCAATGTTATGATTTGTGTGATTATGAGATATATAAGTTATATGGAAAGTATATGTGAAATAAGATATGAGCTTATATGAATATGTGATATGAATAAAGCTATAAGAAATGATTTATGTGAATACATGCATTTGTGATGCGTGTTATATGATATTAGATATATGTTTACACATACATATGGTATGTGACCAAAGAGAATGAACATGTGATTATAAGATCAATGATTACACGTACATTTGGTACGTGACTGAAAAGAAAAGATATATGTTCATAAGAGAAAGGATATGAATAAGTAAATTGAACTGTTATGAATGTTAATGCCCATGTTATGTGATAAGAGAGCTAGTGGTATAGTTGGCATGCCAAGGGTCGAGGGTTTACCTATGTTCTTCGGGACATATGGACTGTTTACCTATGTTTTTCGGGATATATGGACTGTTTACCTATGTTCTTCGGGACATATATGGACTGTTTACCTAGGTTCTTCGGGATCTATGGACTGGTCCTTCGGGATGAATACTGAACTAAGGTTTGGTGCCCAATGAGGGAATTGATACGAGCTGTGGTGACAGCATTAGTGCACAACCTCAATGCACTCACATACCTTAAGTTCTTAAATGTATACATGGGCTAATGCAAGGGCTTTAAAGATAATAAATAACTTGTTATGATACTATATATATGCTTTGTTGTGAAATGACATGGATACTCGATGGTGAGTATAGAAAGGTTCAATATATGCTTACATGATAGAAAGAAATTAGTAATAATGATATGAGTACTGATAAGTATATTAATGATATATGTATAAGTATGAATTATGTTATATGAAATGGTTTGTGGTTTTATTATATGTTTTATATGCCTCACTAAGTCAATGACTTAGCGTGTAAGTGATTTACACGTAGGTATAGAGAGGAGTAAAGAGCGATGTGTAGTAAGATAGGTCAGTTCTCCTTACTCAATGTCAGATCAGAAAAGAGGTGATTAATATGTACTTTAATATATAAAGTTCTAGTTGGCATGTATTCAAAAGAATATATTGTATAAACTCTGAATAATTTTGCAAACGTTTTGAATAAGTTGAATGTTATAAAAGTTTTTAAATTACTCAATATTTTATACGATTAAATGTTTGAAAAGTCAATGTGACACTTCGGACTCGTATCCAGGTCGGATACGGGTTGGGGGTGTTTACATTTAATAGTATCAGAGCTACGGTTTAGCCGATTCTAGGCTTAAATCGAAGTCAGAAGTGTTTTAAAAAGTATACATGCCAAATCAAAGTGAAAAATTCTGATCTGATAGTGTAAGGAGTATGCTGTCTTGATAATAAAAATAGATTATTATGTGATAATAGAAGTATGATAATAAGAGCTTCGAAAGAAGTGAAAGGTAATAAACCTGAAGGTAATAGCATTCACCTGCCCTGGCCAGGCAGGGAGAAGAGCGAACACCTCAGGAAGTGCCTGTATAAAATTTGGAAAATTATTCTTCATGTTGAAGAATGTTTGATGTGTTTTCAATTTATACTTCTTTAACTCATAGAATGAATTTATCAAATTAGTTGATAAAGTTGCGAGCACCCAAGTTCAAGGGTGGATTTGAGGAAGGTTCTATTGTTATAGACCTTTGGTTGAATGATATGATAGAAGATTTTCATTTCTTCAAAGTGGAGATGTTGAATTGAGTATTTTGTTACTACTTTGGTAAGTTAGAGTATGGTGGACAATTGTCACCATAAGAACGTTAAAAGATTAAATGATGTGATTAGAATATAAGAGTTCAAGAATAAGTGCATTGATGACCAGTTTATAGACATATGAACTGGAATACACGAGCTTGAAACAAGGGAATTACACCTTGTATGAGTATGATTATAAGTTTAATAAGCTAAGCAGAATTGCTGCTGAGTTAATTCCGACTGAAAATGATACATGTGATTTGTTGTTTTGGACTTGCGCCTTAAATTAAAAGAGTGTTACTGGTTTTGAATTTGTTATCGTTTCAAGAAATGGTTAATTGTGTTAAAGCTTTAAAGAGAAAGAGCTCAGAATGAAAAGTTTGGAGAATAAAAATCTCATATGATTAAGAGAATTGGTGCTTCATAGAGTTCAGTACCATCAAAGAGAGGTAGTGATTCTGGTTTTTAACTTCAGATAATGTATGAATTAGTTGTATTCTCTGCCAGAGAATCAAATCTGATGAGAGTCAGACAGACTCAATTAATATGGTATGGTACTGAAAGATTAAATATGATAAAGGGTTATAAGGAAGTACAGATTATAAGTTTGATTAGAAGTAAGAAAAGTATGTAAGGTTATATGAAGAGATTATGTGTATCG